TGTTGCATGTTATAAACATGATTTACCAAGAATATTTGAATTCTTGGATTTCTTGTTGAATTAGTATAATTAATACTATTCACCACTGAAACCTTAGGGAATTTCTCTAACAAGACATTCTTATTGATAGGGTCAATTTCTAACTATTAAATTTAATCAAAATCACATTAAATTGAAAAAATAGACAGAATTGACTAGTTTTAATTTAACGGCTAAAACTAGAAATTTTTGGATAGTTTACTTTTTCAGAAACTACCAAAGAAACTCCCTCTATTTATTTGGACATGTCACACACAGCAAACAAAAGATTGAACAGAATAATTGTCCCACTTTCTAAGGTTTCAATCCAACTGCATCTAAGTAGAAAACATTTCAACCCATTTACATGTATATCTCCATCAGTTGGTTACCAAAACACACTTAATCTTAGCCATCCATTTTGTCATGTATATTATCCATTTTGTCATGTATATTCCACACACAAACACACATGTAAGGGGAAAAAATAAACACACGTGAAAAGTTTATGTAAAATATGTGTATCTACATATCTCACGCGCCGACATGTATGTATACACCCTCCACCCAATATGGGATGGCATGTCATCAATATTCTGCTTCAAGTGTGGGCAAAATGTTATTAGTTAAATTCTAGTTTGGACAAAAGTTATATTTGTATCAACTACAAAAGAGGTGATTTGACACTAGGTCACCTAATTTGGGATAGAGGGTTTCTGGGTCCACAAGTAATTTAACTTCTCAACTGTAAAACTGCCAAAAGCCAACTCGTTAACTATTCTAGTGGACCTTTATTTTTTTTTCTCCCCTTAAGTTGGATAGGCTAAGAAGCAAAACTACCTACCAATTATTAACTATTTAATTAGTGAAATTCGCATCACTAGCTATTTGGTCTCAAAAATATCGAGTTAATATGATATGAAATAACAAATATTTGATCAAACGCATAGATAGTGTTTATCGGATCCAATCAACCGATCAAATTAACCAATTCTATCTAATACAATTCATTTTTAACGAATAACTGACCTCAATTACATTGAATTGGATGTGAATTCTTAACAACCGACTTGGATTGAATATGATTGGATGTTAATGAACTTATTATTAGAGTGTATAGGTCTAGATTTTTATTCTTTTACTCTTGGTTAATACCCTTTTAATTAATATAGTATTTAATTAAAAGAATATTATTCAAGAGTAAGGGGTAAAAATAAGACCTATGCAATCTAAGTACGTATTTGTCTCATTTTCCCTTAATTTCACTTTCAAAATCAAATCCAAACCGATCCAACCTCTACATGTTAGATCATTATAGATATAAAAATATATTTATATTATTGATCAAAAATTCAATTTTATTTTTCTCCTCAACACTTTCTTTCTATGTTTTTCATAATTTTTTTTGTTAAACTTTTTATGTTTATCAATTTGTAACCTTATTTTCATTTTTGTAAGTTGTTGACTGGGTGTTTAATCAACTTTGAAGTAATTTAGAGTTTATTTACTTTTTAGATTTATGGATGCTAATTCTTGTTTTATTTTTTTCAATGGTAACATCTAAATTTTTTTTAAAAAGATCTAACAAATAGGTTAAGCAAGAAAATAAAAAACAAAAAATGTACAAAAAGCTCAAGCAAAAAACTAATTGGTCCAATGCAATCCAAACTAACCTTAATCGGATCGAATTGGATTGGATGATACAACAGTAATTAGATTGGATTAGTTGTAATTTTTAAAAACCATTCTTTGATATTAGTTGTTATGTGATCAAAATAAATTAGATTGGATTGGATAAAACCCCTAAGATATCTCCTTGCTTGGTAGCAAAACAACAAAAGATGTAAATTCACCTAGTATGCCATTAATAGTTTAATACATGTCTATTTATTAGAAATCTATATTGTAAGTGAATCTGCTGGGAATTTACAGTTTGATCTGATGATAATTGAGATTGATTTTATTAATTCCTAATTGATTGTAAAAAGTAGTGTTTTGGACATATAGTCATTAATATTTGTTCCTTTTGAAGTATATTGCTTCAAAAAGAAAACTTTGGTGCCATTTGCAACTAGTATGGATTTTAATCGTACTCCTAAATGAAAAATAGATGTTAACATATGATCTGCAAGATGTCAAATAGGGTCAGCCTGTTAACCTCTTTTGAACTCTATTATATGTGTGTGTTGTGTGTCTGTGTAGAACCCTTTAGATATAACAGAAACAATCACTGTCGTGGAAAAGTAGGAAAATGGAATTGTATGAAACCGCATCTTTGAGTGCAACTCACTTTTTGAGTTTGAGTTAGAGAAGGGGCATTAGGTACAGGACAAGGATATTCATGTAATATATGTCATTGTTTGGCTTTCGTACATTACTTGTAATGGATCTTTATACTAACGTTGATGTAATATAACACCTTTATATTTTCTATTCGGAACTTGGATCCATGATTCAGATTATAACTTCACAAGTATCCAATTAGTATATATATATTTGGAAAGAAAAGCTCCAATTATTATATTCACATACACGTTATTGGGTAAAGAGTAAGTTATTGATGATTAGATTATGACAGCATCAACAAGGGGGCAAAAACGTCACAAACAAGGTCAAATTTTGAGCTCAATTGACTTTTTGTTTTTAAAAAACTAGATAGAATGTCTAATGGTCTCAACAGAGTTCTCATAATTCTTAACTCTTGTACTATAAAAATAGATGTGAGTAGAATTTATTTTTTTTTTTTTTTTTTTTTTTAAAAAAGTATTATTTACACAAGATATATGTCATGCTAATATGTGATCAATCATCTCGATTAATTATTCAAGAGATGAAAAGTTCCTGATTAAATTAACCACCCAAGTGAAGCTGAAAGCGACATCTCTAGAATATATGTGAGCAGCAAATGCAGCAGCCATCAATAAGCCAGCGAACTGTGTCCAGAACCAACATATGGGGCTTATCGTTTTCAACATAAAAAAATAAAAAATAAAAAATAAAAAACCCCACATAAGAGGCTTATCCCACTAATCGTATAGGACGTGTAGTTGAAGAAAACTTTATGTTGTCTCCTATTAGTATCAAGTAGGAGATTATCATTGGATTGAAGAACAAGTGCACTGAAACCGTTTCTTTCGGCTCAAGTGTTGATTTATGCAATAAAAGCTCATCACAAGTCCAAAGATAATTTTGTCACATTTTATTTATATCATAATAATATTATATGTAGATAAAGGTTAGAATCAGAGGAAAAGCCGTCAACAAAGAATCTTATCTTCAACATCACTCAAGTACTAGCTAGTATTGTGTGTGGCATCATATTCACTGAAAATACACCTCTAAAATCATGACAACTCACTAGCACAGATTAACTTTTCCAACTTTGTGTGTTTGAATTCGTATGCTCTATTCCACAATGAGCTCCACAAAGGTCAATTTATAATCTTGATATACGTAATATCTGCTGCTTGTAGATTAAGTAAACTTACAATTGGACTACTATTATATTACTATGGTTTTGACGTCTAATTAAGGGTCAACTTGTTAATGATTTTCTAAGTACAAAATGAAATGCGACCACTAAATCAGAAGCTTATTGTTATTACTCGATGTTGATCATATTCCCTTATGATCATCAAATCCCGGCAACTACCCATCTCCATAAACAAAATTAGTTTCCATCAATCAATGATTCTTTTTAACTAGTCTCTCAAGTTTTCATCTGCCAAAATATTCCTTTATTACTCAGAGAACCTTAGAAAAATGCTTCACTTTTTCGGCTCCTTTTTAGTGCTAGAAAATGTCTCAATGCTGAATTATTAAATAGAGGGCTTTTTAGTGCTTGTATTTCTAACTAAATCGAGTGAGTTTCAAAAAAGTAGGTAGATAAATGTAAGGATCCAATGAATCTTATTATAATAATAAAAAGTTATTCACATATACTTGATTAACAAAAGGAAGTATATCACCTTGGCACTCAGTGAAGTTACTTTGTATAAAGATGCTGCTGACGAATGTATTTTAGCCGACAAGACAAAAAGGGACCTGCACTCACTTAGCACAAAAAGGTCTTAAACACGCATAACTAAAGTGGGTTCATAAAATTGAACAATTCTACAACACTACTACTCAATTTTCGTGACCATGCACCATTCCTTATATGAAAGCATACAAATACTGAGAAGTCTCTGCTTGAGAAGTTCGATCAGAAAAAATTTAAGCCTCTGATCTCCTCAAGTATTCCCAACCATATCATGCATGTAACACAAGCTATTTGATCCTAAACTATATAATAAATTCACAAAATGATATTGGATTTACTTTGAGTTAAAGACGACATGATGCAGGAGGAACAAATTAAAAATGTAGAGAGAAAAAGAAAGATAAAGAGAGAAAGGAAGACGAAATATGAGAGGAGTTTAGAATTTAGGGTGATAATAAGAATAGAAAACAATTCTAATCTAACAATGGAGATGTATTGTACGTATAGTCTAGTATCAAATATTGGGATGAAGATCGCAACACTAAATTATGCACTTATGTTAAGCGTAAAAATAGAATGTAGTGTTAAGTTTATTTTCCTAATATTTTGTAAGAGTTAGGTAGCAACAGAAAATTACTGAAATAGTATTGAAAAACGTATTCAAACTTAACAAAATATTAGGAGACCGGAGACTCGATTAAAACTACTTTCCATTGTTACGGCTAGCATAATACTAACTTACACACTTATGTTAGGCATAAAAATAAAAAGTAGTGTCAAGTCAAGTTTCCTAAAATTTTGTTAGATTGTGAATACAATATTTTGTTAGTTTAAATACATCTTGCAAAACTATTCCGATAAATTTCCCTTGGTACCCAACTCTAACAAACTATTAGAAAACTAGACTTGAAACTACTATCTTAGACTAACATAAGAAACTACTATCTTAGACTAACATAAGTGCATAATTAGTATTCGGATCTCCATCACAAATTTGATACTGAAGAAGAAATAATAGACCATAAATACAATGCCTCACCCTACTTATTTCATGCCCACTTTACTATACAAAAGAAACCTCTGATTACAAGTTTGAACAATGTCAAGTTCCAATCTTATCTTAAAAAGCATTAACCCTAAGAATTCCATCACCATCAACTAAAAACTTGTGCCCAAGACTATCATTAGCCGCATGTAGTGAACCGTAATCACCTGCTAATAGATAATGTAGGCTGTAGGGCAGGAATTTCAGCAGCTCATGCAGCTGAAAGTCAGCGGTCAGTCATCGATTCTTACAAGGCAGATAATTCAACTTCCTGACTGCAAGGACGATATGCCACAAAGGTTCCATCACTTGAGAAGGAACCAGGATTAAAGCAGGTGATTCCTGTGTATTTGAATGCCTTCTGCTTGCTTCTATCCCCTAAGACTATCTGAAGAAGTTAACAAAAAAATGATGCAGATTGTTAGACCATTTTTACAATGTAGATAGTAATGTCAAATTAACCATTGAGTTTGGTCTTTCCCGTTCTTTGGTTTCTAAAACTATAATTCATTCCAGAAATAACTATGTCATTCTCAAAAGCCCGGGCCTTCAAACTTACAAGTCTATAGCATAATGAAGTAAAGACAGGCCACATTATCAGCTGAATTGCATTTCACATCCTATGGCATCTACAAACCATTAATGTTGGGAAGGACAGTGCCGCTAGTGGAAAACATTGCATTATAACTTGTCTAGAAGAACATAAGATATTAGTAAATGAACAAGAATATTAGTACTACCGTGTGTGGAGTTGGATAAAGATAGAGTGCATGATCATAGTTCCAGATAATGGGTTGCACAACGAGAGGAAGTGGACAGAGGTGACTTTGATGGGTTATGGTAGCTACAAGCTGCAACACAAACTCAAATCCCATCAGTTTCATGAGCTAATGTACACAGGTCAATAAATTCAGCCAACAGGTTTATACACGTTCAAAAGGGAAAAAGGAAATAAGTATCACATGCTCAAAAGAATCCTCGGTTTCTTCTGTAGAAGGCGGCATCAGACATGAACGCCGCATTCTGTACAGCAGATCCTCGCGAAAAAATACAATCTCCTGGGAAAGGAATTTGATTCTGCATTTACATAAAGACAAAGTTTGAGCAGCAAGATAATTGGAAATTTAATTGCTAGAGCAAGAACGCAACAAACAGTATTTCAACCTCTAACAGGGACCTTACAAGTAATAAATGACTTAGGACTAGTCCTTAGATGCTAAAGAATGTCAAAAGGTTACAAAAGGGAATTACTTGAAATGTGAAATGTAAAAAGTACATTTGGTTTGTTGTACTTATCCAAAAGAAATTCATGTTACCTGCAAGGATTACTTGAAAATATGGCATTTGGAATGTGATTTTGAAGCTCTTCTGTCAAATATTTTGGCAAAGCACACCTGGGTAGAACTTTTGAAGGACCTGAAATTTTCAACAAGTTGTCTCAAGTATACAACTATATAAATGTGAATTTTCACAAAGAAAAAAAAAAGAAACTAAAAAAGAAAAAAAGATCTCGTCCAAGTACCTGCATCATCAGGACCTGGGATAAAGAGAAATCGACTATTCTCTTTTAGCCGTTGATGCATTCCGATAATATGCCCTAGCTTTCCAAATTGGGATCTGGATGCCCATGATGATCATTACTTTTGGTAGTGGGGAAAACAAAAATAGCATCTGCTGATAACTGAAATTAAGAGGAATCTTTATAACATATGACTCACCTGAGAGTTGAGAAAGAATGAAAAGAAAGGTTACATGGGTGGGAAGAGAAATTTCCCATGAACACGAACAGTGAAGGAACCACCTCCTCATTCTCAAAAACATCAAGGACAGTTGTAAGCTTTCCCATCGCCTTCTCAAACAAAAGAAATGTCAAAGTTACTGTTACTTACATAAATCCATGAAGGAGAAATTACATAAGTTTTAAGAAAAATGGAATGACAATCACCTCTTCATAAAAACTTGGTGAGCTTTTGTTGTGTTCGTTAGCCTTTTTGGCTTGTTTATTCGTTAGTTTGGTAGAACCTTTTTGTATCTTTTCTTTTCTTTTTCTTTTTAAATAAAATGATAGCTTAGAGATCCTTTTGATTCCTTTTGCTCTCTATTTATGAGAGGG